GTATGGATACTGTAATGGGCCAGATGGGGGCCAACAAACTGAAGGTGAATTTTAATAAAATTGGGCATTTATGGATTTTTGGTTGGATTATAATACCCAATATAATAACATAATTTGCTAGCATAACCAGTAGGGAGAAATGCTGGGTGTTGTAATGGAACCATGCCAGATTCCCACCCTTGAGACAGATAGTGTTTGCTACTCAAGACAGCTTTGTGCCTCTTTGCAGAATAATTTATGATTAATGTAGAATTATGTATTCAAAAAGTGAACCATTTAAATAATATAGTTTGGAATGAAGAGAAATAGTATAAGTTTTGTTTTGTTTGTGCAGCTCACACAATCCAGCTTCTCACTGCAGCCTTTGTGTTATAATTTAACACCAGGTTCCTCAACTTTGCAACTAATTTGACATCAGACAGGTAGAGGGGTGTATACTAATTCGACTGAGAAATACATTCAAAGACCTAAAAGATTTGGGGTGAGGATACCAAAAAGAGCATCAGCTCCCCAAAAGATTGTGCAAAAGCTCTTCTGTGCACCTGTTGATATTGAAAGCTTGCAACAGTGTCATGATAATATTTGGAAGCAGCAATATGCCTCAGGAGAGCTCCTACCTCCATTTCCAAAGCTGTGTTGACCCATATCTGTCTATCTATGTACGTAACATACATCCATACATTCAAAGTTTGTATTATAGCAAAACCCAGAGAGAGAAAAGAAGCTGGGGCAAGTGAATAATTTCATTTTTACTCATGACACACTTATTCAAAAACCTTGCCAAGCCCTGTTTACACTTTATCATTGACTAGCCACCCCCTGCCATGTGTTGACTAGCCGTCCCCTACCCAATCTGTGTATATGTGTTTTGTGTGTATATATATGTGTGTATATATTTGTATATATGTGTATATATGTGGTTTTGGCATTGCATTGTAAAGTATTTTTTATTTTTTGGCTTTTAAAGTCTCCTCCGCTGTGTGTTTTCAGTGTTTTTATGAGTGATGTTCACTTGTTGGCCTTATAGGAGTATTGTGTCCAAATTTGGTGTCAATTCCTCCAGTGGTTTTTGAGTTATGTCAATCCCACAAACTAACATTACATTTTTATTTATATAGATTGCTGGGAACTTAAGCAAAAGCCGTTTCGACCCCAGTGTATAACTGTAGGGAAGGGAAAGTGCCTCTCTTTTAAAATATTGTTTTACAGTTTGTTTAGCTGATGGCTGTTGCCTCCAGTATTTCACGTGTCCTGGGATTAAAGGAGGATTAAAAAGGAAACAACCGGCTGCTCACTTTTACACTTTGAGGGGATTAGAAGTGGCGGCATGGTGGTAGATCTAATTCTTTTTCCAGGTCCCTTTTACACCCATCTCCTCAGCAGATGCCCGCATCTAAATTCAAGGGAATGTACTGCAGGGTAAACGGGTGCCCGGAAACATTATCTATGGAAACAGAGAGTGCCTGGTGTTTATCATTCCCCTAATTCCAAAGAGAGAGTGTCCCCTGTTCCTGGCTGCTCTCTCCTGAGCTGCTGATGTGTGTGGAGAAAGAATTTGCAACCTTGAACAAGATCTCAATGCCAAGTAGGGCAAAGGGGACCTGCTGAGATTCAATTGCTTTGCCTCTTTGATGCGCGTGGCTCTTTTATACAACGTAATCCTGGTTACTACATAGATGGGAGACCACCAATGAATACTAGATGCTGTGGGCAGTATTTTAGATGAAGTAACTGACAAAACATACAGCACCTGGTATTGACCGACAGTCTCTCATTCAAGTACTAATCAGGGATGACTCTTCTTAGCTTCAAAGATCAGAGGGGATCTGGTGCCTTTTAGGCACTTAGGCCATTTATTTATTTACAGTATTTATATTCTGCCCTTCTCACTCCGCAGGGGACTCAGGGCGGATTACAATGTACATATACATGGCAAACATTCAATGCCATAGACACGCAACATATATAGACAGACACAGAGGCAATTTAACATTCCAACTTTCATGAGGGTATTCTGGCCACCAGGGGAGATGTTCGTTCACTGTCCATATGCGACACTGATGAAGTACTTCCTCGTTCTTTGCAGGCTTGCTGGAGATTTTTATGGCATCATAAATGAGTTAAATTAGCCTCCCCGCGTAGGCGGTACCTAAATTTCCTACTTGACCAATGCAACTGTCTTTCGGGCTGCAAAAGTCGACAGCAAGCTACACAAATTGGTCGGACACTCACTCTACTCACTCCTGGGATGGCTTCGAACTCACAACCCTTGAGTCAGTAGTGATCTTAATGCAGCTGACTTCCAGCCAGCTGTGGCACAGTCCCATTGCAGTTGTGATGAAGTCTTCTCTCTGAAGGTTTTTAAGCAGAGGCTGGATGGTCATTTGTCAGGAGTGCTTTGATTGCATGTTCTTGCATGGCAGAATGGAGTTGGACAGGGTGGCTCTTGGGGTTTTGGCCAGCTCTATGATTCCTTGGGTGCATCTACACTATAATGCAGGCAAAACATTTTTATTTAGACAGGTTTTTAAAGATGAAAGTTTTTAAGATCAGTTCAGGGAGTGCTGTGGACTTAAGCTGACAAATATAGTATGACATATTTGAAAGGGACTCCTAAAGAAGGACAATTATAGTTTGCATGTTCCAGGATAGGTAAACCAAACAATCTTTACATCAACACTGACAAAAAAAAACCCCAAGAAATAGTGTTTATCCACAAGCATAAAGAAATTGCATATATTAGAAACCAGTACTTTCTCATTACTTTATTTTCCTGATCACTAGACTGGGCCACAACAACGCATGGCAGAGGACGACTAGTATAATATATATTACTATCATGCATTCATTCTACAGGGTTTCCCAAACTCCAGACCTCCAAATGTCTTTGAATTCAACTCCTAGAAGAGAATGATCAGGTCTTCTGAGAGCAGTTGTCTAAAACACTTGGTCCATGCTCTGGTTACATCCCGAATAGATTACTGCAACACACTTTGTGTGGGGTTGTATTTGAAGATTGTTCAGAAACTCCAACTAGTCCAATGGGCGGCTGCCAGATTGCTCACCGGAGCACCATACAGGGAGCACACCATGCCCCTGCTATGTCAACTTCACTGGCTGCCGGTCCATTTCTGAGCACAATTCAAAGTGCTGGTCTTGGCCTATAAACCCCTATACAGCTCTGGCGCAACTTACTTGTCTGAATGTATCTCCCTCTACATTCTGCCTTGTAGTTTAAGATCCACCAGGGGCGGGGCGGGGCAGGGCGGGGGGGGGGAGTCCCTGCTCTTGGTCCCACTGGCCTTGCAAACGCGTCTGGTGGGGACAAGGGACAGGGCCTTCTCGGTGGTGATCCACCACTTGTGGAATTTGCTCCCCAGTGAGATTAGACCGGCATTCTCCATCCTTTCCCTTAGGAAAAAACTGAAATTGTGGTTTTGGAACCAGGCTTTTGGCTAGCAGATACAACGGCACTTTGGACATTGAACAGGATTGTTATAATAATGGAAACTGCTATATGACTGCATAATTAATGATATTGTTTTGAATCTATTGCGTATTTATGGTGTTATATTGTTGTTATATTGTGATATTGCAGCATCGAATTGTTGCCAGTGTTAGCCGCTCTGAGTCCCCCCTCAGGGGTTGAGAAGAGTGGGGTAGAAATGTTGTGAATCTATATAAATAAAAATGTAATGTTTATTTGTGGGATTAACAGAACTCAAAAACTACTGGACGAATTGACACCAAATTTGGACACAAGACTCCTATCAGGCCAACGAATGATCACCACTCATAAAAACATTGAAAAACATAGCAAAAGAGACTTTAAAAGCCAAAAAATTAAATTGCAACGCATACACAAAACCACATATATACACATATACACAATATACACACACACAAAACACATATACACAGACTGGGCCACAGCAACACGTGGCAGGGGATGGCTAGTCTATATAAATAAAAATGTAATGTTCATTTGTGGGATTAACAGAACTCAAAAACCACTGGACAAATTGACACCAAATTTGGACACAAGACACCTAACAACCCAATGTTTGTCCTTCACTCAAAAAAAATGGTTTTGTCATTTGGAAGTTGTAGTTTCTGGGATTTATACTTCACCTTCAACCAAAGAGGATTCTGAACCCCCCAACGATGGAATTGAACCAAACTTGGCACACAATTCTCCCATGACCAACAGAAAATACTGGAAGGGTTTGGTGGGCAGAATCCTTTGGTTTTGGAGTCGTAGTTCACCTACATCCAGAGATCACTATGGACTCAAGCAATGATGGATCTGGACCAAACTCTACAAGAATACTCAATATTCCCAAATGTGAACACTGGTGGAGTTTGGGGGAAATAAAATCTTGACATTTGGGGGTTGTAGTTGCTGGGATTTATAGTTCACCTACAACCAAAGAGGATTCTGAACCCCACCAACGATGGAATTGAGCCAAACCTCCCACACAGAACCCCCACGTGAGCCACAGCAAGTCGTGGCAGGGGACGGCTAGTAAATAGAGAGAGAGAGAGTTTGGGAAAATCAGCGTGGATGCCCTTCGCTGATTCTGTCTCTTTGGGTCTACTACATCACCTACATCCAGAGATCACTATGGACTCAAGCAATGATGGATCTGGACCAAACTCTACAAGAATACTCAATATGCCCAAATGTGAACACTGGTGGAGTTTGGGGGAAATAGAATCTTGACATTTGGGAGTTGTAGTTGCTGGGATTTATAGTTCACCTACAATCACAGAGCATTCTGAACCCCAACAACGATAGAATTGGGCCAAACCTCCCACACAGAACCCCCATGTGGGCCACAGCAAGGCATGGCAGGAGACGGCTAGTAAATACAGCGAGAGAGTTTGGGAAAATCAGCGTGGATGCCCTTCGCTGATTCTGTCTCTTTGGGTCTACTAACTCTACTCAATGCATAGGATCTTCTCAAGGAAAGGGGGAGGCAGGGAGCCCAATGGCTTGAACTCTCCAGAGGCAGGATGGCGTGGGACCCTCCCCCTCGGGGCCCAATGGGAGGCGTCCGATTTCCCCTGCTGGGCCCCGCCCTGCTCTGACGTCACGGCCCCCCTTCTCTCCCCGCTCCTCCAAAGTGGGAGGGGAGGGGGAGTATGGGGAGGCCGGAGCTTTGCTTAAGCCGCGGGCGGGGAGAAGGCGGCGGCGTTGGCTTTGGCGGCGGAGGCGAGCGCTCCCGACCCGGGAGGAAGGCGAGGAAAGAAGGGAAGGAAGGCAGAGAAAGGGAGCGGGGAGGCAGGAGGTCGGCCAGGAGCGAGGGCTACCCTGGACAGCGCCCCTCGCCCTCCGGAGCAACGCCAGCCGCCGCCCAGCCGCCTCGCAAGCCCTCCTCGGCGGCAAGATGGTGAGTGCAGGCACCAGCCTATTTCTGGACGCCGGGGAGAGAGGCGCTAAATCCCTCCGAGGAGGAGGAGGGGAGGGAGGGGACGGAGGGAGGGAGAGAGGGATGCCCGCCAGCCTGGGCTGCTTCCCATTGTCAGGGCTGTTGCGAAGCCCAGAGATGCCCTCCTTGGATGCTCCTTGGGTACCCAGGAGGCCACATCCTGGAGGGTGTGTGTCTCCAATGCTCTCCGCTCTTTCCTTGCCACACACGCTCTCTAACACGCCCATTCTCCACCCCACACGCCTTTTCTCTTCCTTCCCTATAGAAGCATGGAGTTGGAAAAGGACCCCAAGGGCTATTCAGTCCTATTCTGGACAAGCAGTAGAATCCTAGAGTTGGAAGAGTCCAGTCCAACCCCATTCTGCCAAGAAGCAGGAAAATCGCATTCAAAGCACCCCCGACAGATGGCCATCCAGCCTCTGTTTATTTTTTAATTTTTTTAATTTTTATTTTATTTAAGTAGACACACATTTGCAAGTATTTATTGCATACAGTGCAATAATTTCTATCTATTAATGTTCCATAATCATTTATCTGATAATATATTTCTATTAAGGCAGTGTTTCCCAACCTGAGGGTCAGGACCCCAGGGAGCATGCCCGTAGCCAGGATTTCAATTCGGGGGGGGGGGGGGCTGATTTTTTCAGGGGGGGGGGGGGCTGAATTTCGGGGGGTTCGTAACTCCACAACAGATGGCAGTACTGGTATTTTATTTATTTATTTATTTATTTATTTATTTACTTTGCTTATATACCGCTGTTCTCAGCCCGGGGGCGACTCACAGCGGTGTACAACATAGAAAGAACAAGGTTCAAAATTCAAGACACAATCTAAAATAATCAGTCCAGCATTAACCAAAAAGATCATCATCAAAAAACATCATCAATACTACAAAAGCCATTCCATTATCCCAATACCCCAATACCCCCATGCATATGGGATATATTGAGTATGGTGATCAGATCATGATATGAATAAACATAACAGTTTAAATAATGCACCAGTAAGGCCTTTTCGCGAACCACCATGAGAATTTGGGGGGGGGGATGAAGCCCCTCAAGCCCCCCCCCCCCCGGCTACATGCTTGCCAGGGAGGGTTGCAAGGGGGTGTCAGAGGGGTCACCAAAGACCACAAGAAAACACAGAAAATGCAAGATACTCCACTTTGGCAGGAAAAACAAAATGCAAAGATACAGAATGGGGCCAGCCCTGTTCAACATCTTTATTAATGACTTAGATGAAGGGTTAGAAGGCAGGATCATCAAGTTTGCAGACGACACCAAATTGGGAGGGATAGCCAATACTCCAGAGGACAGGAGCAGAATTCAAAACGATCTTGACAAATTAGAGAGATGGGCCAAAACTAACAAAATGAAGTTCAACAGTGACAAATGCAAGATACTCCACTTTGGCAGGAAAAACGAAATGCAAAGATACAGAATGGGGGAGGCCTGGATTGAGAGCAGTACGTGTGAAAAAGATCTTGGAGTCCTCGTGGACAACAAGTTAAACATGAGCCAACAATGTGATGTGGTGACAAAAAAAACCCAATGGGATTTTGGCCTGCATCAATAGGAGCATAGTGTCTAGATCTAGAGAAGTCATGCTACCCCTCTATTCCGCTTTGGTTAGACCACACCTGGAATATTGTGTCCAATTCTGGGCACCACATTGAAGAACGATATTGACAAGCTGGAATGTGTCCAGAGGAGGGCGACTAAAATGATCAAGGGTCTGGAGAACAAGCCCTATGAGGAGGGGCTTAAGGAGCTGGGCATGTTTAGCCAGAAGAAGAGAAGGCTGAGAGGAGATATGATAGCCATGGATAAATATGTGAGAGGAAGCCACAGGGAGGAGGGAGCAGGCTTCTTTTCTGCTTCCCTGGAGACTAGGACACGGAAGAATGGCTTCAAACTACAAGAAAGGAGATTCCATCTGAACATGAGGAAGAACTTCCTGACTGTGAGAGCCGTTCCGTTCTCTGCCCTGGAGTGTGATGGAAGCTCCTTCTTTGGAAGCTTTTAAACAGAAGCTGGATGGCCATCTGTCAGGGGTGATTTGAATGCAATATTCCTGCTTCTTGGCAGGGGGTTGGACTGGATGACCCATGAGGTCTCTTCCAACTCTTTGATTCTATGATTCTACAGTATTTTCTATTGGTCATGGGGGTTCTGTGTGGGAAGTTTGGCCCAGTTATATTGTTGGTGGGGTTCAGAATGCTCTTTGGTTGTAGGTGAACTATAAATCCCAGCAACTACAATACCCAAATGTCAAGATTTATTCCCCCCAAAGTCCCCCAGTGTTCACATTTGGGCATATTGAGTATTCATGCCAAGTTTGGTCCAGATCCATCATTGTTGGAGTCCACAGTGCTCTCTGGATGTAGGTGAACTACAACTCCAAAACTTAAGGTCAATGCCCACAAAACCCTTCCAGTATTTTCTTTTGGTCATAGGCGTTCTGTGTGCCAAGTTTGGTTCAATTCCATTGTTGGTGGAGTTCAGAATGCTCTTTGGTTGTAGGTGAACTATAAATCCCAGCAACTACAATTCCCAAATGTCAAGGTTTACTCCCTCCAAAGTCCCCCAGTGTTCACATTTGGGCATATTGGGTATTCATACCAAGTTTGGTCCAGATCCATCATTGTTGGAGTCCACAGTGCTCTCTGGATGTAGGTGAACTACAACTCCAAAACTTAAGGTCAATGCCCACCAAACCCTTCCAGTATTTTCTGTTGGTCATAGGTGTTCTGTGTGCCAAGTTTGGTTCAATTCCATCATTGGTGGACTTCAGAATGCTCTTTGATAGTAGGTGAACTATAAGTCCCAGCAACTACAACTCCCAAATGACAAAATCAATCTCCCCTCCCCCAACCCCACTAGTATTCACATTTTGGCGTATCGAGTATTTGTGTCAAATTAGGTCCAGTGAAGGAAATGCATCCTACATATCAGATATTTATATCGTAACAGTAGCAAAGTTGCAGTTAAGAAGTAGCAACAACAATAATTTTATGGTTGGGGGTCACCACAACATGAGGAACTGTATGAAGGGGTCGTGACATTAAGAAGGTTGAGAACCACTGCGTTAAGGAGTCACAGTCTACTATCTAAATAATACTTATAAAACAATCATAGACTCTTACTTTACATCCTCTTCTTCCTTGTCTACAATTTTATAGGATCCTATATACATTTTTAGTTTAATTTTACATTAAGGTGTTGAATCATTGGTTGCCATTCATTAGCAAAGTTATCTAATAGTTCTCCTCTTAATAATACAGTTATTTTATCCATTATCAGCATATCCATAATATATTTTTCCCATTCTTCTAAAGGAAGTATCTCTGGGGTTTTCCAATATCTAGCATATACTATTTGAGCTGCCACTGTTGTGTAAAACAAAAATATTCCATTTTTTTCTAATTCTTCCTTGGGCATATTCAAAAGGTACATTTGAGGTGTCATTTTGAAATTTGTGTTTAATATTTTTTTCAAGATATACATGGATCTGTTTCCAGTAATTTTTTACTTTGCTGCAAGTCCACCATGTGTACCTTTTTCTTTCCCACATTTCCAACATTTGTTGGAGCAATTATAGATCTTAGCTAGTCTCTCTGGAGAGAGATACCATCGCAGGTGCATTTTATAAACATTGTCCTTTAGATTTTGACATGCAGTGTATTTCATTCTTCTCTTCCATGTCTTTTCCCCATCCAGCCTCTGTTTAAACGCTTCCAAAGAAGGAGCCTCTACCACACTCCGGGGGAGAGAGTTCCACTGCTGAACAGCTCTCAGAGTCAGGAAGTTCTTCCTCATGTTCAGACGAAATCTCCTTTCTTGTAGTTTGAAGCCATTGTTCCGCATCCTAGTCTCCAGGGCAGCAGAAAACAACAACAACAATAATAAAATAATAATAAAACTTTATTTATACCCCGCCACCATCTCCCCAAGGGGCCTCGGGCAGCTTACATGAGACCTCCCCCATAAAAACAGTAAAACAATATAGGAACAAGAACCCAACAGAAAATAAGAAAATAAAATAACATAAGATACAGAAATCAATATAAATAAATAGCACAACAATATAAAATCAGAACATTACACACTGAAAACAAGCCTGCTCCCTCCTCCTCCCTATGACTTCCTCTCACGTATTTCTACATGGCTATTATGTCTCCTCTCAGCCTTCTCTTCTTCAGGCTAAACATGACCAGCTCTTTAAGCCACTCCTCATAGGGCTTGTTCTCCAGACCCTTGATCATTTTAGTCGCCCTCCTCCGGACACATTCCAGCTTGTCAATATCTCTCTTCAATCGTGGTGCCCAGAATTGGGCACGATATTCCAGGTGTGGTCTAACCAAGGCAGAATAGAGGGGTAGCATGACTTCCCTGGCTCTAGACACTAGACTTCTATTGAGGCAGGCCAAAATCCCATTGGCTTTTTTTGCTGCCGCATGACTAGGAGCCCCCGGTGGGGCAATAGGTTAAATCCTTGTGCTGGCAGGACTGAAGACCGTCAGGTTGGTGGTTCAAATCTGGGGAGGATGCAGATGAGCTCCTTCTGTCAGCTCCAGCTTGCCATGCAGGGACATGAGAGAAGCTTCCCGCAAAGATGGTAAAACATGAAAACATCCGGGCACCCCCTGGTGCAACGTCCTTGCAGATGGCCAATTCTCTCACACCAGAAACGACTTGCAGTTTCTCATGAAAATAATAATAATAATGTAATCCAGGGAGTGGCATGAGCTCCCGCTGTTAGCCCCAGCTTCTGCCAACCTAGCAGTTCGAAAACATGCAAATGTGAGTAGATCAATAGGTACCACTCTGGTGGGAAGGTAATGGCCCTCCATACAGTCATGCTGGCCACATGACTCGGAGGTGTCTATGGACAATGCCGGCTCTTTGGCTTAGAAATGGAGATGAGCACCAACCCCCAGAGTCGGACAAGACTAGACTTAA